ATATATATATATATATATATATATATACACATATATATATATATGGCACATGCCTGTAATACCAGCACTTGGGAAGCTGAGGCAGGAAGATTGCCTTGAGTTCAAGACCAGTCTGGACTACACAGTGGGTGCAAGGCCAGTCTGAACTACATAGTGAGACCCCGTCTCAATAAACAAAAATGAAAACAAAAACAAAAAAGTAATTAATTAAAATATTTTCCCACCAGGTATGGTGGTGCATACCTGTAATCCCAGCACCTGGGAGGCTGAGGCAGGGTGATTGTTATGAGTTCAAGATCAGCCTGGGCTACAAAATGAGCTCAAGGCCAACCTGAACTGCACAGCGAGACGTCTCAAAAAGACAAAAAAATGAAAAAAAATTTTCCCAAAATATGTAATTCATTTATTCATTATTATTAACTTTGATATGATTAGAATATATATTCCTTACAATTGCTTCTGTTGGAATAATTTACATTTTCTTGTTTATTTGTGTCTTTAATATTCATTCTGTATTAATTGTAGTCTGAATTTTTTCTCAGATATTCAGTATATACATTTAAAAAAAATTTTTTTTTGGTCTTTTTGAGACAGGGTCTCACTATGCAGTTCAGGCTGGTCTTGAGCTCAAATCGTAGCCCAGGGTGGTCTCAAACTTGCAAAGATCCTCCTACCTCAGCCTCCTGAGTGCTGGGATGACAGGGATTACAGGCATGTGCCACCACACCTGGCTCAATACATTTAAACTTGACAAAAATCTAGATTCCACAATTTCTCACTTTCTATATCGAGATGCTCAAAGCACCTCCCAAACTGCAATTAAAGTGGTATACTCAAACTTCATTGAAAAATTTTTTGTCAGGCATGGTAGCACATGCCTGTAATCCCAGCACTTGGGAGGCTGAGGCAGGCCAATTGCTGAGTGTTGAGGCCAGCCCAGGCTACATAGTGAATCCAAGGCCAGCCTGAACTGCATAGCAAGACTCTGTCCCAAAAAAAAAAAAAAAAATTAGAAGTCAGATGTGGTGGCACACACCTGTAATCCCAGCACTTTGGGAGCTTGAAGCAGGAGGATCACAAGTTCAAGCCCAGCTTGCGCAACTTAGCAACTTACCAAGACCTTGTCTTAAACAACAGAACAATGGGTGGAACTGTAGCTCAGTGCAAAGGCCCTGGGTTGAATCCCCAGTAAACACACACATGCTCACACAAGCACACACTCAACAACATCCCCATCCGTGGGAGGCTGCCTCTGGAAGGGCCCTAATGACATGTGTCTCCTTGTGTTCACACTCTTGTACAATCCCTTCCCTTAAAGGGTACACTGGACCCAATGACTTCTACCTATGTGACTATTCCCTAAAAGAATTTGGAAGCAACGCTGAGATGTCACTTCTGAGAGTAGGTTACAGAAAGACTGTGGGTTCCATCTTGCTTTCATTCCCTACCTCTTTTACTTCTTGAATCTCATACAGGCTGGCTGCTATGATCAGGGCCATCATGCTGAGAGACGCCATGTTGTGAGCCGCCATATCACAGGGAGGATGCAACACGAAAATGAAGTATTCTAGCCAGCAGCCAACAGAGAACTGAGGCCCTCAATCCCACAACCTGTGAGGAACTAAATCCTGCCAACAACCACTTGAGTGACCTTGTAAAAGAACCCTTCCCACCTCCTGCAACGAGCCACCCCAGCCCTCCTAAGCCCCAACTGCAGCCCCGTGTGAGCCCCTGAACCAGAGGACCAACTAAGCCACGCTCAGGCTCCTAACCCAAGGGAGATGTGAGATACTGAAGGTTTGTTTTAAACTGATAAACTATGAAGCAATGAGTAACTAATACACCATCAAAAATGTTTTAATATGCAAGCATTTGTAATTTTATACCGACCCACCCTAAATTACCAGGCATAATCTCAACAGGCAAGAACATCCTTTAGGCTAGACATTGATGAGAATCAAGACTTCTGTGTATGAATTTACATAGCTGAAGACAGAAAGAATTTTCCACACATTAACTTTGAGCTCCCTACTTTGAAAAGCCTTGTTTCTTCTCTATTATTCGCATAATTCTTTTCAAATTACTAACTCTTGCCCTACATTTTCATGGCATAAAACAGTGATTCAACTAGTGGGCAGTACAAGTACTCCTGGTCTACAGTGTGTGGAGCTGGCTTATTGGGGTTCCTGAGGCCAGTGTTCAACTGCTCAGGAGTAAACATTGACCATTTTAAAAATTAAATTGTAAACTGGGAGTGGTGGCACATGCCTGTAATCACAGCAACTGGGAGGCTGAGGCAGGAGGAGTGCTATGAGTTTGGGACCAGCTTGGGCTACAAAGTGAGCTCAAGGCAAGCCTGAACTGTATAGCGAGACCCTGTCTCAAAAAGACGAAAAATAAAATAAAAATTAAGTTGTATAAGCTTATAATTGAATAAAAAATACTAAAACCAAAGATAATAAATACTTAAAACTCATCACTTCGCAATTATTTCACTATTAATAAATTGGACACACATGTTTGAATACCCATTGTTTCTCTGGTGTAAGAAACCCAAAGGGTAAATAAGGACCAAAATGTGTAACAGACATTGGGAGATGGGAAGAAAGCGTTCAAATGCAAAGGGGCAAGAGAGAGGGGAAAGGGGGAGGGAAGACGGGGGGGGGGGGAGGAAAGAAGGGATAAGACAAAAAATGGAAACCAAGATTTTGTAAATAAGGAAGGGTAGAGCGCTTTAAGAGAGGGAAGGGAAAATGGGAAAAAAAGAACAAGCAAGATCTATCATGCACAGGTACAAATGCTCTATGACGAGCATTATGTATATCTAAAATGTATCAATAAAAATTTTTAAATGCAAAAAAATAAGATAAAAATACAGGCAGGCTTCTGCCCAGAAAAACAATTATTTTACTATTACCGTGTTCTTTTTTTTTTTCTGGTACCGGGAATCAAACTCACAACCTCATGCTTGCCAGGCAGGCGCTTGTGCCACTGAGCTATATCCCCGGCCCTATTACTGTGTTCTTGAGCCTATTTACATCTATTATAAATACTATGGTGGAAGAACAGGGCTACCTCGGTTTACAAATTTAATTTGCTTTATGATTTGGGGGTAGATGGTTGTGCTTATGTTTGTGAGGAAGATGGCCATGGTGGTGTGTGTCACCTGATGTGGAGTTTGTGAACAAAAGCAAAATTTTGCTGCATGCTTTTGTTTGCAAACCAAATCGTTTGCAAATGAAAATGTTCGTGAACCAAGGTATTACTATACTGTAGAGTGGTGTGCTATTCTTCCCAGTTCCATATCAGTAATTGCATAGTAATAGCTTCCAGTTTGCCATAGTGGAACTATTTACACCAGGGAAATTGGCAAACACAACACTGGTGATCCAGTTGGTAAACTTTCCCTAGAATACCACCACATGGTAGCCATTGCTACTCTAGGACAGTTAGCCATAATATAACTATTCACAAATCTGACTACAAGCTATAGAAATATTTCCCATGAAACCCAAACAAAACCAAATCTCAACTTGCAAGGCCATCTTGATTAGATGCCATCAATGTCTTTGGTCACTCCTACATCATTCAGCAGGAGGGTATGTGTGATGAACAAGATATCAGAAACTGCAGTTTAGCCCAATGGCAGTTAAAATACCTTTTGAACAATTTTTTAAAATGAGACAATGTAAACCACACATTGTGGCACATGCCTGTAATCCCAGCATTTGGGAGGCTGAGGCAAGAGGGCTGCTGTGAGTTTAAGGCCAGCCTAGGCTACATAGAAAATTCAAAGCCAGCCTGAACTACATAGTGAGACCCTGTCTCCAAAAACGAAAAAAGAGACAATGTAAAAACATTGCTGCCAGATGTGGTGACCCATGCCTGTAATCCCAGCACTCAGGAGGCTGAGACAGGAGGATGGTTGTGAGTTTGAGACCAGCCTTGGCTACAAAGTGAGTTCAAGGTCAGCCTGAACTGCACAGTGAGGCCCTGTCTCAAAAAGGAAAAAAAAAAATTGCTAAGGAGATTCTTAGGGCATTGGAAGACTCCTCAACAAAGAGGGGTACCCCAAAACCTAAGCTTTGTTAGTTTCACAGTACACCTCTGCTTCACACCTTGCTGCGTGTTTCCTCTGCCCCTCAATGGTTCCTACCCAGCGCTGACTCCTGGGGTGGGGAGAAAAGCTGGGTGGGAGAACATTTGCATAGACATGCTTTTGTTTATACACATGGGTGGGTACTCAATACACACACACAGGACAGACTTTGTATTTCCTCTCCATTCTTCCTGTGTGAAAGAAATTGCCCCTGTAGCTTATTTTTCTTATTGTTAGGGGTCATTATCCTTCTCATGGGCATTATGCTTCAGCCTCTTGTCCTAGCATTAATGGTAAAAAAGCAAAATAAAACAAAATAACAAAACCTGCTGGAAAAGAAATTTCTGATTTATCAAGAAGGAAAATATAGGGCTGGGGATATAGCTCAATGGCACAGCGCCTGCCTGGCAAGCACAAGGTCCTAAGTTTGATTCCTGGTACAAAAAGAAGAAGAAGAAGAAGAAGAAGAAGAAGAAGAAGAAGAAGAAGAAGAAGAAGAAGAAGAAGAAGAAGAAGAAGAAGAAGAAGAAGAAAAATATATAGCTGTAAGTATTTCAAAACTATCATGCCATTGTGAAACTGTTCTTTAGAAATTCATATACAATAAGAATCAGGAGTCAGGTAGGGTGATACACACCTGTAATCCTGGCACCCAGGAGGCTGGGGCAGGAGGACTGCTGTGAGTTTGAAGCCAGCCTGGGCTACATAGTGAGTTCGAGGCCAGCCTGCATTACAAAGTGAGACCTGTCTCAAAAAAGCCAAAAAAAAAGGCCAAGCATAGTGGTGCACACCTATAATCCTAGTACTCCAGAGGCTGAGGCAGGAGGATCTTTGCAAGTTCGTGACCAGCCTGGGCTACAAAGTGAGCTCAAGGCCAGCCTGAACTACATAGCAAGACCCTGTCTCAAAAAGACCAAAAATAAAAAGAGTAAGAATCAGGAGCAGAATCCAGGTTTGTAAACTGTAAGGAGGCCAACCGCGGTTTGGTGTGGAAGTGCAGTCCAGCAGGGTAGTTCCCTGTACTGAAAGAGTTCTCCAAAACCTGACACCTTCAAAGGAAACTCAGCTGACAGAGGGACTTCCCCAAGCAGAAGCAGGAAAACTAGCCTGAGGATATCCACACGGGAGCTCCAGGTTTTAAGTAGATGACGTTAAAGTCCGCATCTAATTCCACATTCTCGAATATTTTTCACCCTTGGGGTGGCAAATATGCCACTACTTTCTGCAAATCTTTTATTTTAACAGTGTAGGAATAAATTACTATTCACAATCTACTTCATAACTTAGAGTTACTGCTATAATTTTCTTTTAAAACTTTATCTGGAAAAGATCTGACATGATTGAAAGACAAAACAAAAACAAAAATTCCCCCAAGCGCCAAGATTTCAAATTCAAGAAAACATAAAATGATCTTAACATGAAATGATCCAAAATAGGCAATACAATTTTCACATCTCATGGAAAAATACTGAGTCATATCGCCCACCCACGTCTTACAAAAATAACAGAAATTCAGTGATTCAGGCAAGACACACTCTGTCATTGTACGAAGCAAATATTTGAGTCATCCCGGAAATTTAGCAGCAAACTCTCCTCAGTGACAAAAGTTTAAATTCCACGTTCCAAGGAAAATTTTGCAATGAGGAGTTTTTTTCCAGCACCAAACATATGTTTTTCTTTTACCCCGGGATACCTTAGGGCTGGATGCGGCCTCGTTTTATGAGGACAAGCAGTGTCACGTGTTGAACTGGCTGTGCGGAAGGGTCAGTGCCGTTCATTTAGGTAGGGCACAGCCAAAGTCCAGCGAGTCTTGAGCAGGACTCCAAAGACAGCCCTTAGGGACAGGCCCAGTGCCCAGGACAAGGGTGGGAAAGGCTTCCTCGAGACCCTCAAACCCGAGTAATAGGTGGAGGCCGCACTTCCTCACTCTCAGTTTCCATCCTCCAGTTTTTCTCTTTCTGCTGGGCATAGCTCAGCGGCACAGTGCTTTCCTGGTAAGCACAAGGTCCTGAGTTCGATTCCCGGTATCAAAAACAAAAAGAAAGAAAGAAACAGATTTTCTCTTTCTTTTGCCAGAAACAGAGCTGGGGATGGAAACAGGGCTAGCATGGCTGAGGCGTTGGCTTCAGTCCTGTCTTTGTCACTTTTTTTTTTTTTTTTTTAAAGAATAAAAGAAGGATAACATAATAATAGGGGGGACTTAGCAAATTACAGACAAAATGGTAGGAAATTATCAATGGTTATCGTTTTACATATTATTATCTACAAAATAGTTTCTCAGGAAAACAAATAGACAAATAATAGTGAGTTAGAGACAAAAGAGGTAGGAGATTATCAAGAGTTGTTGTGCTATACTTTGGTATCTTCAAAGAGGCTTCTAAAGTAAATAAATAGAGCTATACATGAGTGACCTATTGAAAAATCATTAACTCT